TGAAGAAAAATTAATAGCTTTTTGTGGTTTATGGGAAGATTATCCTCATCATCGTTATCGTATGAAATTTTGTATTGAAATGGGTCAATTAGTTGGTTATTCTAATATTAATGATAGCAAAGCATTAGCTAGTTATGATGGTCGTTTAATAAATATGATTATTGTATATCCAAAAGAAAAAAATCGTCCATTAGTTCATTATCGAGGTTGTCTTGGTTGGAATCGAAAATATATTAGATGGGAAAAAGAAGATTCATCTCGTAAAAATAGTTGGCGTCCAACTCAACGATGGATTAAAATTGAATGAATCATTGTGTTAAAATTTGTATTTTACTAAATTAATATGATCTTGAATAAATATTTTCTTTGAATGTTTCTAACTTCTATCAGACTTATTCATCTTATATATTTTTTTGTGTAACATAAATAGAATATTTTACAATTTCTATAGAACATTTCAAAATTGAATAAATTTTGACTTATTAAGATTATCTATTTTCACTTATAAAACTAATTTCTGATACTTTGAATGAATTTTCATGAAACTTTATACAAATCATATCTCTTCGAAATCTTGCAAAATTGATGAGTGTTTTTATGCATTTTTCAATTAGATATCTTAGGTAATACTTCTATATGTTTATCTAAAAATATCGATTTTTATTTTTTGGTGAAAATGGACTTGTCGGGAGAAAGAAGAAGATTAACAGTATATAAGCAAATTGCACACACAAATTTATTAGTCATCATTAAATCTCTCTCAAAAAACCATCGATTAATTTTACGTACTTTTTTTTATAACTGCGTAATATATATTTTAATAATAAACCAGTTTTGTTGTTATTTTTATGTGTAATATTTATACACAAAAGGAAAAAGAGAACGTGTTTGAGTCATTCTTCTATATTTGTGTACGACCCAGAATACTTTGTATAAAATTATGTCTTCCAACTTACATTATATGTCAGTAAACATCCAAAGGCAGTAATACTTGTTGTTTTTCTCGTCTTTTTCAAATTATTCAATCGAAAATATTCTGCAAAAAAACCTTAATGCATGTATAAATTTTCCTAGGACATATTGTATTTTTAAGGGACCATCCATAAAAAACGTCTCAGAAAAGGAAAGACGAAGGGGTCAGTCAAAATTGAATACATTCGCACAGAATACACTGTAAAAAAAGCGTAGAATCATAAATCCTTTAAGGGTTTATGAAAGTGCAACGAATAATGTACTCTTTAAGGGTCTATAAGAATCAAATACCCGTTCGAAGGATTTATGAAAGGGTATTTGATTTTCATATACCCTTTGCAAGGCATATGAACGGTTGATGATAAAAATAAAACCTACCATAACATTGTTGAGTCACGATGAATCTAAAAAAATAAAACAAAATTTATTTAAATATATAGATGCTTACCCTAGAATTCGTTATTTGGAAAAAAGCCTAAATAAAAAAAAACAAACATTTAATTTATAAAATAATTCTTACCAATAGAATTATTTATCGAATGAATCTAAAAAAACAAAGATTCTATTTTATAAATGAGTTCTTACCATTAGACGTGTTCGTTGAACAAATCTAAATAGGGTGTGGGTGTGGGTGTACGTGTGGGCCCTCTTAAATCCCATCCACACCCACACCCACACCCACCCTCTATCCGTTACGATATGGATGGATTAAAAAGAAATATCTATTATTTTTTGAATGAAAATGCCAAATAATTTCTATTCGATTTCGCTGGTCATTGAAGAGTAATTTTACGTTGATTTAATGAATAAAAAATCTTGAAAAGATGAGTGTCATTAATTTGATTAAAAGTATTTTTAAATTATTAAAAAGAATTACAATTTCTATTTTATAAATTCAATATTTTGTTGTACACTTTGAAGATCAATATGATGAAAAATTAGTGAATGTTGTCGAGTGTCAAAGTAGATTCGTAAAATGCGAGCGCTTTCGAATATTCTCTTATACTGTCGTAAATTAAATCAATAGTTGTTGTATGCAGTAGCCAATTCAGGATGAATTGCAGGAAGAATTTTTTATCGAATATCGAGTGCTCTTCCATGTTGTCACATTCGAAAGTGATCTTATCATTTGTATGAGTCAAAGAACTGCGATTCACCAGAAGAACTTTTCCGCAAATTTCAAGAGCTTTTACATAATATGATGTTGATGGTGAGTTTATTTGAGTAAAAAATTCCAAAAGCGCTTTACGACGTGTTTGGAACTTGCTTAAGAGACTCATCAGGTAAGTTTTGGAATTATATCTACATTATAAATAAAAATTGAATTTTTAAAATAATCTCAAAATTCAAATGAAAATTATAAGAGTTAATAAATAATTTCAAAAAATTAAATGCAAACTCTCCACAATAATCAAATGTTGAGAAAGAAAAAATTCTAAGTTATTTAAATCGTAGATAATTCAATAAATGATGAGTTTATTTGAATAGAGAATTGCGAAAGCATCTTACGGCTCATTTCATACTTGCTTAAGGCCCCCCCCCCCCCCCCCAAAAAAGCCAATTTTGGTCAAATGCATGGATTTTGTGATTTATAGCTCATTAGATAGGGCAAAGTGTCTACTCTCGAATGCACTATAGTTTATTGATTTTATGATGAGATTTAAGGATATTACATAGGTTTTTCTGAACCCTCATATAGGAAAATAACGTTTTTTCTGAAAAATTTTGGTTTTTACGTTTCCATGCATCACAGATTTCTCCGCTATTTTAAACGCTAGAAAGCTCAGCTTGGCGTCAAAATGAAGGCAAAAATTAGCTGTACAACTTAACAGAGCTAGATTTTTCGATTTCCCCATTAATGTTTATAAAAGACTGACTGTTATGGACCTACTTTCCCTAGGTTTTCTGTATGTCATCCGAGGAATTTTCTAGGAACACAAACTAGGAGGAAATCGAACGATCGTCTCCTGTTAAGCTGTAGAGCTAATTTTTGTCTTCATTTTGACGCAAACCCGAACTTTCTAGCGTTTGAAACAGCGGAGAAATTTGGGACGCACGGAAACCTAAATTTTGATCAATATTCTGTCTTTATCATGTTGTTCAATAGTATAACGGATTTACAGACAATTATAGTTCGCGTCATCTATCGTGATATGTTGCATATGAGGATAACTTAATGTACATCGATAAGAGCTTCGATTGGCATCTAATATATTCAGGCTTCACCTCAGTTTTAATTAATAATAGGAAGGCTAATTAAAAAAAAATTATTTTGCGTTTTTCTCCAAATTGATTTTTTCGCTGATGATCGAACTGCGAACAAATTTTTTTTCAATATACTCCAACCCAGAGAGTTGTATTTTTTTTTCATCGATAGATACATGCATAGTCTTTCAGATGAGGGAAAGGAGTTTTCTAATTGTTCATCAATGCTAAAGAAACTCTCGATTTTCCAGAAAATCATGCCTAGGATTTCCAGATTTTTGAGATTTCGGTGATCTTTAAAATGTAACAAAGTAAAAATTAAAAAAAATTCTTTCCCTTATCCGAAGTAGTAAGGAGTTCTCTTTCAAATAAAACCAACCCGAACTTTGCAGCTTGAAGTATATGAGAAAAAAATTTGTACACGTGAAAGTCTCGTTTTCAAGCTTGGTTCCTCAATATCTCCTGAATGATAAGGTATAGAAGTGTGAAATTTTTTATACTAATGTACTTCTATGAGCCCAACATTTATGCAAAGTTTCATCAATATCTCATGTACCTTGTTCAAGTTAGATTTTTGAGGGGGGGGGGGGCCTTAGGGGACTCTTCAGTTAGCTGATTTTCCTATAGTTGCTCAATGGATTTTGCATCAAAGCAAACTATAATTATCTACTAGAAATTGACAACAAAATAAAAAATAAGAAATTCCAATTTTGTTCGAAAACGAGAAACGATATGTTTGAGTTTCTTTCAATTTTTGTCGAGAGAGTTAACAGAGAAGAAAGGCATTGTGAGCAAAACTAATATACGTGTTTGAGTTTTACTTTGACAGTGGGAGAAAATTCAAACTATGACCATTTTTCACTAAATTTCTGGTTTTTGAAGAAGAAATCTGTGAAAAAACCAGAAAAGCAGATACTTACTAAAGCTATACCTTTCTAAAATGTATCAGAAAAGTTAGAAGTCAGAAATTTATTCCTATGATATATTGCTGAAATGTGGAAATACTCAACGAAAGTAAACTTGTGATTTCTGCTTTTCTGATATATTAGCGCAATCCGTACAGGATTAAAAATGTGAAACACGATCTGTGACGGTTTATAATGTTCTGTCGGTCACGGTATGCTAGTGTAGCCTATTGGTCACCGTCTATGACGCTTTATATAACGACTTATACCATGTGACCTGTGACCTATGTCGGTTACGGTCTGTGGGGGGCGGGAACGAGGCGGAGAGTGGGTCTAAATTTCTACCCTTATACACTTCAACACTCTCTTTTAGATCGCGTTTCACAAAATGAATATAATTTATTACGGCGCCAAATTCTAGTAATATCAACAATGAGTGAACATGCACGAGCAACTCAAATGGCAAGTCAACTAAATTATACTGCAATTAGTTCAACAATCGACCCGTTAGTCAAAGCAAAATTATTGAAAATTGAACGAAAAAATTAGTCACTTATGGTTTATTACACTTACGAACGACGTTTCGCTCATTATAAATCACAAATTCATCGAAAATGGAATGAATCATTTAATGAAACATCGGCTATGCACACAAAACTCGTCACTGGAACTCGTAATAATCCAAATCTAACCAAAGAATTAGTTCATTGAAGACCATATCAATAAAAAATTAATACGTCAGCAACAACTTAAGAAAACATCAACATTTATCAAATTTAAACAAAAGAACGACATTTCCATTTTAGTAACTTTGTACAATTTGAAACATACTCAGATTTTTTCATTCGATTTCAATCAAGTATACGTGACAAGACAAACTAACATTTTCAATAAAACTTAGAATAAAAATCACATTAAACTAAAGTTCTAAACCATACTTCAATTATTGGTCTTTTCTATTTTGCAGATATTCATTATTCTTTCTTCATGAATATTATCACTTGTCAATTCGGAAAAGTGAAAAATAAAAAAATATCCACAAACAATACAAAAAAAAGTAGTGAGAGCTACATGAAAGAATTAAAAATTCTACTCAAACAGTTGTTTTCTTTGCATTCTAGATTTCTCTTTTTCATTGCAATCATTCGAACAAGTATCGACAGAGTTTAAGCCACCTGATGAAGACCCTTAAGTAAGGTCGAAATCTGGATCGTGGCAAGCTTGACTCACGTGGTAAAAATGGAGCCACTGTTACGAAAATATGGAGTCATGACACTATTGTTGCTGGTGCAAGTTTTGGTGATCTTCATTCAGATAATCTACGATCAGTTCTTTGCCAATTTGCAAGTTCAAGTGCAGCGAATACTGAATTTGAAACACTAACATATGAATTACGATATAATCAGCCACATGATTCCAATGGCACGGCTAAGAATAATAAAAAATGCGTTATCATTAAAATTTGTAGAAGATGAATTGTTGGCTGCGGATATTGATCCTCGTGTGAAAACTATTTCTGCTACATTAGCGGCTGCTGATATGAATAAAAAAAATCGTACAGCTTGTTATGGATGGTCATAGGCAAGAAGCGATTGATCTTGTTAATAAACAAATTGCATTACTCAAAGACGTGGAAAAATTAGATGATGAGAAAGGAATGATTTCGTTATTGCTTCGATTGGCTCAACATATGCTGAATAAACTTAATAATGAAAATATCGATAAAAAACTTATTTCTCGAGGATATGAACATCAAACTCATTTAAAAGACGAACGTGATTATGAGGATATGGGTTTTGGTCTTTTTGATTAACTGATGAAAAAATATTTGACAAGCTTTTTAGTAAAATAGCAGAAAATCATTTTTAATAAATCGACAACTCAAGTTAAGATCATTAGAGATGTCTTTGATATAGACGGTTTTGCACGATCAAACTCTCCCGTTAATAAAGTCCACGAAGTATGTATAAGTACTGCAGACTCAATGTCGAAGTTGTCTGATATCAAATACTCTTTTCGATTCAATTGAAAGATTGATAAGTTTTTTAGAAAATATCCCATTATGAAAACAAGATACATTATAAAAGAAAATAGATCGGTTTTAGTGTGTTGATTTCATTGTTTTTTTTCTCTCTTATTGTTCTTGACGCTTTTAATAGATGAAGACGATTTATTTGAAGGTATTGTCCTTTGAGGTGACGAATTTCTTCGTGCACCATTGTTACATTTCGATGACGAGTTTGTATTGATCACTGTCGTACGAGCATTTGTAGGCTTTGAGTTATTCGTCGTCACTGATGAACTTATCGTCGGAGCTTCAATGGCATTCTTTGGTGGTAATGTTTTGCTCGATCGCGAGATGATCTTCTTTTCCAATAATTTTTCGAAATCATTCTGAAAAGTTAATCAAACTTTTTCGTTGAAAATTCTAAGCTTAGCATATTTTACCTGCCAGCCAAGCAGCTTTGCCATTTCAATGACACCATCATCACAACTGCTTTTATAAAACACATCACGATAATTTTTCTCTGAATCAAACTTCAAGACATCTGTAAACTAGAAAATTCGATATGAAATACTGTTCATTTTTCGGTAAGAAAGTATCACTTACTGGCTCCCATAGTAGAGCAACATTACCAACGGGTTCCATGTTGATCAATAAGCGAGGACATTTTTTATTGACTCTACCATTCGATTGAATCAATAAATAAAGAGAGAAAATTGATTATTCCGATGACTAACCTGGATATCAGCGTATTGAATGGTGCCACTTGAAGTGACGTCCCCATGATAATTAGAAAATCACATTGAGGAAAGTCCTGTTATAGGATCAACGACTTTTTAACAATTCAACATCATTTTCAAATGTTCACTTACAGTCAAAACACATTCACTGAATCGTTTGGGAAGACTTTCACCAAAAAAGACGATATCTGCGTATCGAAATCAATAGAAACAACAAAGATATTAGATTAGAACCGACCTGGTTTGACGATACCAGAACATTGGTCACAGTAAGGTATCTCATCTTTGAAAATAATCTCTAGAAAAATCGAAATTTTTGAGTGGTGTCATAATCTCGTTACACCCGGTATCCATATTTCTCACTACATAAGTCATGGAGTATTCAATATACGAACATCCATTTTCATACAATATATGATATCTGACAACCTATCGCAATCACATATCCTACTACATAGCTATCTCTAAAAAAATTGAGGAACTTCAGTGCATTTGGTGTAACGACCTCGTTACTCTACACTTTCATCGATACCTATATCTTCTGAAAGTTGAGGGATTTGAGATATAGTTCACTATTGAGGTAACGAAGTCATTACACCAAATCCACTCAAATCTCTCAACTTTTCAGATATATAGTTCAGTTATAAGGTAATGAAGTCATTATTGGATAGGATAAGTTGCTTGGTGTGAAACTGAATACACTTGATTACTCTATAGGGTATTCCTGACGTTTAGCTCTAGATACCCAGTCTAAAGATATTATGACATCTATGAAATTTTTATGAGAATTTAATAAAATGATCAAACCTTTGATATGATCCAACGAATATTCTTTTTGACAATCCAAACAATGAGCAGTGAAAAATGTTCCGTGAGCTTCGACAATCTTTTCCGGTGGGATGCCGACAACTCTTTCCAACGAGTCAATGTTCTACATAGGAAAAAATGATTTCACTTACGAATTATATAAATGCAGAATTACCTGTGTAAATACTCGTAACAATTTGCCTTTTTCATTCAACAGTTGAATAAAATGATGAGCTATTGTTGGCTAAAAGAGATCGATCAGGACACAAGAAATCAGTCAAGACTGTTGATTTTTCTTCCAACACTCACTTTGAAGCTGTTTGGATAAAGTTCCTTGGCCAATAAGAAAAATGGTTTCGGATTTTCCTAGAAACATCAATCAAAGTGTGACATCACTGTTAAACATTCGATTTCTGTTTTCGATCACATACACGAAAAAAATCCAATGTAAATATTGCCTCTGGATTTGGAAGATTGTATTTTTCAAGTCGAGAATAGAGACCAGTGCCAGGCGTACGAAAATCAGGAATACCAGCACTTGTCGATATTCCAGCACCCGACATGACGATGATATTCGAACAGTTTGCCATATATTCAACAGCACCACGCAAATCGAATGATTTCAATACCGGTGACTCGACTGTCTCATCGGGTATGAGGCCAAGCATCGCTCCAATTAAGTTTGGCAATCTATCCATCACTAGACATACTAAAGGAGTTGAATCTCTCTGATCTCTACAAACAAAAATTGACAAACTCTCGTTTATTTCAGCCATTTTTGCATCTAACTCTTCTACTCTCGACATCGTTTTACTTGGTTTCGGTTCTGAATTTTAAAAAAATACTTTGATTTTATTAATTTGATCGAAGAAAACTCACCGGTTGCCATTGAGAATCAGTCTTGTAACGCTTTTTTTGTTTCAATCTGAAAGTATTCAATTTTATATAAATTTCATTTTTCAAAAAAAAAGTCAGAAAAAAACATGTTTTCGTGAGTCATTTTCTGTGCTTTATGAAGACATCATTCACAGTGACAACCGAGTATTTCATCACGCGAATGAAACAAAGAACGCAAAACAATTTCATCAAGTGTACTTCCGAGTCGTTCGCGATTGATAACAAAGGATCATATAGGCAAAAAAGGAATCGAACATGTGTTTCTCAATAATTAATTGATTGTTTTGAGTACATGCTCTGTCCATTTGGTATGTAATGATTAGAATCTTTAAATTCTCTTCGATATAAGAAATAACTGAAACCAATTCTTGAGGGTGTAAGGGTGTGGGGGTCAGGGTGAGTGGAGCTATCATAATGTCAACATATCACCTAAGCAAGTATGATCATCAGGTGATTACATTTAAATTTCCGAAAGAGGGCATGGTAAATTCCTATCTCCAGGAAATTCAAAATTTTCAACATCACACTATAATATGCATTACAATATCAATTAGCCAAGAAACAGCACTTGCGCATGCCATTGGTGGTCTATACCTAGAAACCAGTTTTTATAAAAATAAAAAACACAATTATACGACAAATAAAGATAAAACGATATCTACTTTCTAAATTTCAGTTTGATATAGGAAGTGAGGGTGTTGGTGTGGGTATGAGTGTGGGGGTGTGGATGTGGGAGTGGGTGTGGGTGTAGACTAGAAGAAACACCAAGACCCACACCCACACCCTACAAATCGTACCCAGACTTATATAAACACATACCATCACACATAGTGAATTCATGTGAACTAGCATAGCACCATGAAGCATTTTGAGTGGGGCTGTAGACAAGTGAAGAAAGGTTATCATATGTTTTTGGCTCCTTGATGCCTTCTACGAGGTGTCTTAAGTTGGCTTCAGCATCCTGCATTTCACATAGATCCTTGCCTGTAGCACACATATAGCTGAAAATATGTTCTGGACTCTTTCATGATGATGAGAAGTTATAGACCAATCGAATTCTAAACATTTCTGAAACGTCATCTGTTATTAATATTTAATCATTTAAATTACAACAAAAAATGGTTAGAAAAAAGTTTCTATTCAATTTTTTGTGTCGATGAGTCATAAAACGTT